ACGGTGTCCTGTGCTGTTGCGCACTGCAAACACAGTGGAACAAAGGCGGCACTGCAGCACAAGGTGCAGAACAAAGGTTGACACTGCTTCAACCGTCAAGCGGTCATGGCACATGTCGGTGAAAAGGACAGCATAGTCTTCGAACACACCATCCACGAAGTATCTCACCTGACAAACATCACAAGTATATACCTCCATTAACAATAAATCGCATTCAACGGCTAGACGCCGACCTCTCCAAAGTTGCCTCCTCGCATCATGAAGCGGCAGGACCTGAACAACAGTTTTTAGATGTAAAGCCACGTGTGCAAACCGCTTCACGCCCCTGTGTCAGTCAATTACTGTAAGTACAATATAGTACAATGTTTTGTCCACGTAGGACATACCCTACAGTACAGCACCATGATACATAGAAGCCCGCTTCTTCCTCACATGGCCGGGTTGTGATGAAGTACTTGGCCTAGCATGAAAACATGTCCACGGCAAACTTGCTCAGGGGCAGCTTTGGTTGTTGCAAAACTACCCACACCTGCCAAACCCTAGACTGTTGCCAGCCACGTCTGTTCATGATCCAAACCAATGTCTTGTGAAGTTTGCAATGGGTTGCAAATGCCACGGCGCGGGTCTTGTCCGTTTCTTGCACCACGGCATTATGACGGCAATGGCAATGACGCTGGTTGACTTCATATGGTTTTCGAATGTTTTCTTCTAGGCATTGAATGTTGCACCACAAACCAACCAAAACACAACGCCAGCGGGTAGTCCAAACAAAACAGTTACAAACAGTTCTATAAACAAATGCTCGATTAGACCAATGAACATGCTAGTGCCCACTGTGATCTGGCGTTTGCTTTTGTGAGGCGTGGAGAAGGAGAAAAGGGAGAAGGAATCACGGGATCCTCTTCAAAAATATAACAACCCTCACCTGACAGGTGGGGAACAACAAATGTCTCAACGAGCGCAGAGTAAACAAGAAGTGGCTTCAAACTCAGAACACAGACTGGACGCTGACACAAGTCAAGAATGCAACAAAACCAAATCACAAAATCATAAAGAACTCACAAGCAACATACCCCACGCAAGGCAAACATTCAAAAGATACGACTCAAAAAATGGATACTACTACGACTTAACTCAAAAACTCAGTAGTGTCAACAGGCACACGTTTTCAGTGCTCCCCAAGGTCTGTAACACTGTAGTCAAGCACACCAGCCTGCTATGATCTCGACCCAGCCGTCCAAAGAACTCGCCACTGCCATTGTAAATGTCAAACTCCAAGCCTACGCAAAAAAGTCTCCGCAGAGTATCTCTGTCGCTGACTCTGGCAACACAAGTTTGAGGAGCTAGTTGCATTCAGCGTCTGAGGGTTTCGCTTTGCTCATCTGATTGCACCAAATAACCTAACTTGAGAGAGGAAGGGGGTGAACGAAAGGTACCGCACCACTGCGTGTGGAGAGAAACCGCCTACATAGCTTAAAACCATTGATATTACATGAAAGGTTGCATGGGAGAAACGAACTTGTGTGTTTGGATCAGCCAAGTTTGTGGCCACTTTGAAGCTTACATAGCTTAAAGCCATCGATATTTACAGGGTTTTGTGCCGGGAAGGCGCACAAAACCGTGTAAATACCGTGTTTTTTTACAATTTTGAAGCCTCCGAAAGCCGAAAAAACCCTTTCCGACACAATCTTTCCTGGCTTTTGGTCATTTTTCGGCGATTTTTCAAACCGAGGCACGTCAAGAACCATCAATTTTTACGAGGTTTTTTGCCGAACAGCCACATAAAACCCTGTAAATTGCATGGTTTGAGGCCATGCTTGAAGACAGGAGGAGCTGAAAACACTGGCATTTACGGTGTTTTGTAGCCGTCGATCCAGAGGCGCACCACGGTTGTGTGCTGGGAAAGCGCAGAAAACCATGTAAATACCATCGTTTTCTGCCGGGAAGGTGCGCAAAACCATGTAAATAGTTTTGTGCAATTTTTAAGCCTCCAAAAGCTTCAAAAACCCTTTCCGACAAAATCTTTCCTGGTTTTTGGTCATGTTTCGGTCATTTTTCAAACCGAGACGCATCAAAAACCATCGGCTTTTACGGTGTTTTTTGCCGGACAGCCACAAAAAACGCTGTAAATTGCATGGTTTTCGGCAACTGTTGAGGACTGGAAGAGCTGAAAACACTGGTATTTACGGTGTTTTCGAGCCGTTGACCCCGAGGCGCGCGAGGGTGGAGTTGAAAGGGGGGGGGGGGGGGG